TCGCGTGTCATCTGCCTTTTGCATTTTATGAGTCTCGAGGCTCCTTTCCGCATTCCATGCCATATTTTTTTACAATGCTGATTTTGCAATTCCTTAGGATTATATTATTTTACCATTATATATTTACTTTCTCCATCGTGCTCATCAATTATTGTTCGTTCCCATTTTCCCCCATTAATTCTCGACGTTGCTAACGTTCCTCTCCCTCCTTGTCGTTGCAGGAATTGTTCCGGCAGTTCCAGTGCGGCGGGGACTCGGCCCTCCCCCCGGACGCGCTGCGACGGGCGCTGGCCGTCACCTTCTGCAACCAGCAGCGATTCCAGCTGGGCTGCATGGATGACGCCGCCGAGTGCTTCGTAAGTCGATCCTTTTCCCGGCGGTAGTCGCGCGCGGCTTAAGCGGCTCGATGTTCGCTTTAAGCAGCTTAATGGTGTGCATGTCTTAAGTGGCTTAATGGCGGCCGCGCCTCCTGTCATGGAGAGGAGGAAAAAAATAGTAATAAAGTCCGCCTTAAAGGACCCCATCAGTGTCAAGGGCTCATCAGATAATCCGAAAGGGCCTGATGAATATTGCATGAGGAAAAATTTCGCCTCTGTTGGCAGCCATTGTCTTCCTCTCTCGATGCTTGCACAGGGATCGATCCCACATTCCGGCCCTCGAGAGCCTGGGATCGTTTTCTTTTCTGTCCCTGAGGAGATGCTGGCATTGAAAGACGTCGCGATAAAAATCTGGGAACTGCCAGAAGATAAGAAACGATATATATGTGGAATTGCTCGTGAGACCATTGAATATATTATTTTGCAGGACAATAGCGCGAGTCGATAGATGCGATGCATCGTGAATGCGAAGGGCCTAGAAATGTAGCATTTTCTGTAAATATCGAGGCCATGAATGCCCCCGTGATCTCATTGAGGGAAAGTCAATTTCTCAAATGCCAGAAGAAAAATCGAATGATGGGGAAGCGAGACCCCTCGGTGAGAAAATGAGTCAGTTGCGAGGCAGTTGCCTGGTATTTGCGATGATTCAGCTCGAAAGACGGAGAAGGCTCTCTTTCTTGCAAGAATATTTGCAGATCTTTTTCCAGGGGTCTCCGACCCCGAGGCGGACAATGCGGGATTCATCCCCGCGGTTTTTTCGGCCCCGTCACGGTTCGCGATGAGGCGCTCCTCGTGGAGATGAGGCGCGCCTCGTGAAGTCTATCGTGAGCAAACTCCTCCATTGTTGCACGAGACGGATTTGTTCGATGACCGCTCAGGTACGGTCTTAAGTACTTTTCCGTGTTTGGATCCCTTGCCATTTTTTTTCTCACCGAGAATGGAGACGTCACCGTGACTTTCACTTCTCGGAAAGCTTCTAATTTTCCACCCGACGGATCTGCACAAATCGTTTAGCAGTCCTGTTCGCACCGATGACAGCATCACGAACCATTCGTGTTTCCTCTCGACGAGCCGCATCCACCTGTGCATCGACCACGACCACTTGTCCGCGTCTGTGAACGACATCTGTCTCTCTTGCAGGAGAACATATTGCTCCGGATCCACTCGCACATCGCCCTGGGCGAGCGGGAGGACGCGTGCCAGGCGGCCCACTGCATCCCCCACCAGCGCTTCGCCGTCAGCCTGGTGGAGCAGAGCGTGTGCGAGGTGTGCGGGGCGACGAGCGAGCCGCTCCCCTTCAACCAGATGGTGCACTACGTCTCCGCGTCTGCCCTGACGGCGCAGGTCACTCCCGGCTACCACCAGTCCACAGCTCACCCGGACCCGGACAGCTTCGGGCAGCTGCTGAGGCGCGCCGGCGGCATGGGGGACATCCGCGATTGCCCTGTAAGGAATCCTTGCTCTTCCCGTCCGATTCTCTCCTAGATTCCAGGGATTTCAGTTAAAACTATCGCTATTATACAGTTTAGAAATGAATTAGTATTTTTTTTTTAAGTATTGCAATGCAATCTATAAGAATAACATTTCTTATTTCAATTCCTTTTTTTTTTGCTCTACATGACAGCAGAATATGAAGGATTAGTTGCAATGTCTGGGAGAAGAATAGGCTATCGGCTCTATCGCCCGCGGAAGAAAATAAGGAAGGAACAAAGGGGTGTTGTAAGATGAGTAGAATTCGAGACCAGACGGGCTGACACCCGAGAAGAAGAAACAAAACGAAATATATAGACCATATAAAAAAAAAATTGGAAAAATATTGGGAAA